CCTGCCTCCCTTTCCAGAGTCCAGGGTCACCCCTCTACTCTTCCTCCCTGTCACACTAAATACTGTGAGACTTGAATCACAGAATTGGAAACGTCTGAGTTCATTGTGTGGGGAGTTTAACATAATAGCAAGTCCAGCAGCTCCCAGATCAGGTTGAACACAGGCACAGTGGAATTTCAGTCAATCCCAAAGGAGACCCTTGTAGAGGAGGGGGTTTACAGAGAGTCACAAAACCAGCATAAAGAATAACAGTTCTCACTACTACAGCTTAAATAGGAGGGAGAGAGAGAGAGAGAGAGAGAGAGAGCGCTCCCACCCCGCTGCAGGCAGTCTGAAGGGCTTCAGCTCAGCAATATCCACAGGAGTGTGATTGCAGTGGGTTATAAATAGGCAGGAGCTGACGATCAAGTGTAATTGCATACACTGAGAACAAGTCCAAATAAGCACCGCCAAAGCCCTTCTCAATTTCAGATTTACTCTTCAAATAATTAAATATGTGCAAGACAAAGAAACCAGAAGAAGCTTTTAATGACCTGGAAAAAGGGGCAAATCTACCATCCAAACTTAATCGTGACATTCTGAAAAGAACCCCAAGCACGTTGAAATGGAAGGTAGAGAGTAGAGCTAAATTATAATGTTTGCACAGCTATCAAATTTTAATATTAAAACTTTTTTTTTTTCAAGACAGGGTTTCCCTGTGTAGCCCTGACTGTCCTGGAACTCTCTGTGTCGACCAGGCTGGCCTTAAACTCAAGGATCTACCTGCGTCTGTCTCCTGAGTGCCGGGATTAAAGAAAGGTGTGTGCTACCACCTCTTGGCTGAATAATAAAACTTCCAAAGGCCACAAACCCCTGGGACTCTGGGAGGCAGTGGCGAGTTCTGCTGCCAGGTAGCTTGTTTTCATTCAAGCAGGTGCGCCAAGAACACAGGGTGTTTTAGATCTGTATCAAGGAACACAGCGATGGAAGCCTCCAAAACGCCAGGGAACTTGTCTCAAAGTTGTCCCCGTGGATACGGAAAGGGAAATGCACTGTGTGATGTGACTATAGTCTGAAGGTTTCCAGACAGGCCAACTAAGCCTCAGCTATCTATCTAAACTCAACCTAAGCCAGCCATCAAACCTGAACTAAATTGAAACTATCTATCAAACCAAAGCAAGTGCTCTCTCCTTTCTGACCCAGCTGCTGATAAAAGAAAAAAAGGCTTGGGGAAACACCTCGGCTAACATAACAGACACAAGACACAAAGTGTTTCTGCTCGTGTCATCATGAAATCCACCGCTTTGTATGCTGACTTTTAAAACTGATAAAAAAATTAATTTAAAAAATGAGGACACAGGAAACAGGAAGCAGCACGTTAATCCCGGGTTACTCGCCTGGTCCGGCAAAGAGTAAACACAGCACCCCTCCTTGTGTGAGTGCCCCATGCCTTCACTGCGCACCTGCCAAGTGCGTCACCCAACGAGACCACCAATACTTCAGTGTCTTGAGGAGGCCCTAGTGTTGTTGGGGAGTCATGTGTGTTTAGCTGATGGCGTGTACTGGACACACACACCAGAACCTTCCTATAGTGGTATATCATTTGTATTTTGATAAATAAATCTTGCCTGAAGATCAGAGGCAAAGCTACAGTCACTAGAGGTCAGGTAGTGGTGGCACACACCTTCAGTCCCAGGATCTGGGAGAGTCAGATGGATTTCCCAGGCCACCCTGGGTTACACAAGATAAATACAGAAACAAATCCAGGTGATGGTGGCTCACACCTTTAATCCCAGCCCTAGGGAGTCACACACCTTTAATTCCAGCACTAGAGGGGACGTAAAAAGGGAGGAAAGAGAGGCTTGGTCTGCTTAGTCTGCAGTCACTCAGCAGTGGTAGAGGTAAGACTTCTCTAGTGGCTGCTTTGCTTTTCTGGTTTTCAGGTTGAACCTCAACTTCTGTCTCTGGGTTTTTATTATTCATGCTACACTTTCCCTTAAATCAAGGGTCCATGAGTAACGCCTTTCATATCTCCGAACAGTAATCAACAGGCTCAGGGTAGTACAAACTTTAAGTTATAAATCCAGACAGATCAACTAAATCTAATCTAAAAGGAAATGTTCTATAAGTAAATGCATGAGAATGCACACACATATAATAAAAGTTATGTCCACTTAAGGTGTTTATTTGTATTCAAAAGGTAAATTAAAGCATCTTGCTGTGGAACAATCTTTGCACACTGTAAATATGAGGAAGACAATGGATCCTAATGTATCCAAAAACTAATTTTGTGAACTACTATAGTTTACAATAAACATGAATAAGTTGCACCAGTACAATGAGACAAGGAGAATGACTGTCACATGACACACAATATGTATTTGCTAAATTAATGAACTGATGAAAGTATTACGATTTATCATGTTACTTTTTCTATTTATTATCAAGCTTCTAGTCCTTATAATCCCTCACCCTCAGATGGCGGTGGTCCCAGAGACTGGCCCTGGGGCCTCACATATACCAGGCAAGCATGCTACCATCCGAGTTATATCCCCAGTCTGTAACTTTCTCTATAGACTTCTAATAAGAAAGACAGTTGACATTTTTTTAAAAAAAAATCAACTTAGGACAGGTATGGTGGCTCATCCCTTTCATCCCAGTATTTGGGAGACAGAAGCAGGAAGATCTTTGTGAGTTTGAGGCCAGCCTGGTCTATATAACCAGTTCTGGGCCAGCCAGGGCTACAGACGGAGATTCTGTCTCAAAAAAATAAACAACAAACAAAAAAAAACCAAACGAACTAAAAACAATGACAACAAAAACCTGTAAAAAGTTTTGCTGCCCAGGCCTAATAATCTGAGTTTGATCCCCAGGTCCAAAATGGTAGAAAGAACCTGCTACCATGAGTTGTCTACTGACTCTCTCTCTCTCTCTCTCTCTCTCTCTCTCTCTCTCTCTCTCACACACACACACACACACACACACACACACACACACAGAATAAATAAAAATGCAAAAGAAGTAGAATAACTACAGTTAACAACGATAACAGAATATTTCAAAAAAGATAATGGAAAGGATTTGTAATGTTCCTAACACAGGACACGTCAGTCATTGGACCTGATCATGATGTATAGCGCACGTGTATCGAAATTCCACATTCTGTCCCATCAGTACACACAGCTACCACGTGTCATGTCTACTGAATCTTTAACACTTACACCTTAACAATGTCTGATCCCTACTCAGTGTATCATGGAGGTGATACACAGAAAGGCTCCAGTAAACTCTGAGAAATGTATTGCTTTACAACTTAAAATTACAAACCATGAGACGTCTTCACAGCATATGGCCAAGTTTATATGATCACCCCAGGAGAATAATTCAGTTTCATAAAAATGCAAATCTAACAGTAGTGCATTAATTCGTGCCCACTCTGTCTCTCCAGACAGTCATCAGGGACCTCCCACATGAAATCAATATGCAGACATCTATTTAACTTTATCACCGGCTCACTGAGTAAATATCACACTCTAGACCACTTAGGTGAGCGTTACTCAGGCAAATAGCAAATGTAAAAAGCAGGCTGGTGGTGTCAAGCCATTAACAAATCAATCGATAACTGTCCCCTGGTTTTGGCCTAACATCTGCAGAGCAAATTATTAGCCAGCTGTTGCGGTGGAATCTGGGTGCAGCGGGGATCCCCTCTTCCTCTAAGAGAGGCTCTTGGGGAGACCATCAGTCAAAGACAAGTGTGCTTCCTGAAACAAACTCCTTTATCACCAAAAAGCCTAAAACCTCCGAGGACCACATTGGGAGACGGTACTGTTTTCCACCACGCCTAAATCCCAGGCAGTACTCAAAACCCTGGAGTGCACGAAATAACACACATGGAGTAAATGGTTCAATCTTCCACACCGCTATTCTTACTGCCTTTGCAATGAGTCTTTTTAACATTTTCTAGGAACTACACATAGTCACAGACATCTAATCTTCCTCAAGTGACCAAGAGTGGCCCAACTTTCTGCAATGAATTCAACTTCTTTTTCGTTAAGCGCGATATGAGCTGTTTGATCTCACATCCATGACGTCAAGCCCCCAATGTCATTTTTTTTTTAACATTAATTTCAGGGTTAGTGCTATACCTGTCTCCTTCACACGACACATAGCCAAGATCTTCTACTACACCTTGGGTCACTTAGTGGCCTTGTCAGTTGAAAGACGGTGAACAGGAAATAAAGAGAGGAAGTCCAGCTGCTTGAATCAAGGTCATGACTGCTTCCTCAAGTTATAGCACAGGACAAATCCCGTGAACAGAGTGTCACAATTATCAGCACAGCTCAGAAGTCCCGCCTCTTTCATTTTGCTGGGTCCAGAAGCAACAGTGAAAGACTCTACACAGAGTGTCCTAAGTGAGGCTACTGATCATGACTGGGAGAACTGAAGGCGTTCTTAGATTGGAACAGACCAAATGTCTGTCTCGCTGCTAAGGGGTGGGAGGAAGGGGAACCTCTCTCCTCTTTCTCTTGCCTGTGACGTGATCTAGGGGGAAAATATGAGCATTTGTTGTCAGATGTGGAAGTTAATATTGGCTTTCACACACACGCATGCCAGCCTGCGCTGTGTCTACTTTCCTGTCTTCCTGGATGGAAGGTTTAGTCTCCGCCTCAAAATGGCCCTCACAAGAAACAGGTTTTTAAAAGTCAGGCTAGAGACCTGCTTTTCCTGTGAAGGACAGCTTTTCTTCCTCCCTTTTTCTTCCTTTCCATGGCAACCTTGCCCCTCCCTTCTCTGTCCCGATGATAAATGTGGATTCAACGAAATGACCCACAAAGAACATGAAAAAATCTACCCATAATGCTCAGCACAGACCCTTATCACAGGAACAAACTGCATGTCCCTGGTTAACGGCCAGGCTGCAAGAGACAAGTTGCAACACACCTGTGGCTTGTCACCAGCCCCAGCACCCTGACAGAAAACCACGTCCCACTTCCCACAAACTGCTGTCCCCCAGGTCTTACCCTGCCCAAGAGGTTGTCCTGAAGTAGTGTCTGTTGCAGCACCGGGGCCACATCCTCCAAGCTCAGGACATGGCAGAGGTCAGTGAGCTCCTCTTGACCCAGAGACCCAGTTCCCAGGGTGTCAAAACTGTCAAACAGCTCCTTGAGTCGGGCCTCGTGCTGGTCCTGCTCCACCTCATCCATCCCATAGCCCACAGCGCTCACCTGTGCGGGACAGAAAGGAGTACAGGTTGGGGCAGGTCACTTCTGGACACATGCATCTCTTCCATCCCCATCAGCCACTCGGGACACTGCAGCAGGGCCCTCCTGGCCAATGGTACTCCCACACACATTAGCACCAGGGGCAAATCTGCAATGTTACAACAGAAGGAGTTAGGCACGGAGAATCTCAGCTGCTGTCAGATCACGGCCTGCCTATCAAACTCGGACCCAGGAGGGTTTCTCCCCTATCAGCCCGGAGGACTCAAGAAAGTGAAAGGCTACTTCTACCTGACAGTCAGGTCAGGTGAGATCATTGTCAGTACCAAGTCACTGCAAGGTCAGAGCTGCCAGACAAGTCAGCAAGCTCCAGACAACCTGCCCCATGCTGGGACCTGAGGGGTGAGCCAGCTGACTATTTCCACCTCATTCAGCCGAGGTTCTCCCACATCACAGCGACAACAGAGGCACTGGCTTAGCCACCCCGATTTACAGGGGACCAGAGCCTTTTACTCAAAAAGCAACTCAATTAGCCTTGCTGGTGCAATTACATGCAGTATGACAGGAAGTATTCCCCGAGGCTCTCTGTAATCCCAGGGTGCTCTAGGTAAATCTTCGTTGCCAAGAGAAAGAGCAAAACACCACTCCAACCTTTCCCGTGGAGAGGTCCTGAGGAGCCACCAGCTGTTTCTGAGAATTGAACAGCATCCCTGAACTCCACCACTTCCAGCAACTGGGCTTCATTCCTGGCAGCCCTGTTCCTACAGCTCTGATCCCCCTGCCCTCAGACTAGTTCCCGGGCTTCCACCATCCCTAGGAGCAGTAAAAACCTGAAGCCATCAAAAACTCAGAGTCATCTTCTGCTAAAACTAAAACCACACAATTCCAGGTATTTTACTTTAATCATAAGATGTTTCATAGGCCAGATGTGGTGGTGCATGTCTTTAAACCCAGCACTTGGGAGGCAGGGGCTGGGGGATGGTTGGATTCAAGGCCTAGTTTACAGACGCCAGGATAGCCAGGGCTACACAGAGAAACCCTGTTTCAATAAACCGGGGGGGGGGGGGGGTTGAGGTGGGGGAGGATAAGATGTTTCTTTCCCTTCGCATACTATAATCAATTTTTTAGTGTGCTGGATCCGGCCCAAATCCTGCGCACCTGGAAGAAACTTCATGATGCAATCAGTGGGTGTCAGACATAAGACATCCCCTTGGGAGGGTGACCTCAGCCATTTGCAATCAGGCTTTCAGCCAGCCCCTTTACTACAGAACACAGCACCTTCCACCAGGGCCTAGGGGTGCAGCTCCGTAGTACACCATGTATGCATGTGCGCAAGGCCCTGAGTTCAATCCCCAAAGAGCACTGATAGTAACAGCAGCACCTTTAACTCAACAAAGCCCTGAGTCAGAACTCAAAGGGCGGCTCTCAGTAACACAGAGACCGGGTAATTTAAGCTGCTACACATAGCTAGGACCCAAGGCAATGGAGCTTTCTGAAGCAATTCAGCGGTGCTCTGGGATGTTAGCTTTCTTTCCACAGACAACTGTCCAAAATATGACAAGGTCGGACAAAGCCATGACCTCCACAGCTAGGTGACCTCAGATGGGCTGGAATGACGCTGCCACACAGCTAGCTCACTGTTAAAGAGGGCCATTTCCGAAAGCAGCATGGCAGGGTGTGGGTCCGGGCTCCTGGGCTTGGGAAGGTCTCCCCCAACAGCAGCTTACTCCTGAGGTGCAGCGGGCTCTGGCTGCCTTCCCAGGGTTGGTCTGCTGGGTTAACTAATCAGTATGTAAATGTTTTCAAAATATGTTGGGAGTGCTACATAAACAGCAGAGCTTCAGAAAAGAAACAGGAAGGTGTTAAACCAAGCCACAAAAGGAAGGCGCTCTGGCTAATGCAATTCACCAAAGCGGGCCAGTTAATTGTCAACTAAGACCTGCTGGGAACCCCCACAGGCTCTGGGATTTTCACAGCCCGAAGGCTCATTCTCATCAGTCCTCTGGGTTGTAATCTGACCGACTTTAGAAAAGCCAGCCAAGTCGACTTTCACGTGATTTCTGCAGGCGTGTGTATAAACTCAAAATTGAAAGCCTCCCAACAGTCCCCTCTTCAACATCATCTTCAAGGGTTAGTGATCTGTCTGTCAATCTGCCAATGGAAGGGAGCGAAACTCACCATGTGCAGACAAGGCCCAGCCCTACCTGCTGCTTTGAGCCTGGTTAGCAAGCATGTCTGATTTCAGGAGGCCATTGGATTTTCACTAGATCAAACTTCCTTCATTTGAAAGAAGCTTTTCTTTCTTATCCCTGAACTTCAGCTCCCAGGTTCCCCAGACAGCGAGCATAAAGCTTAGGAGAACGTTCTTCCGACTGAAATTGAGGGTGGGTGTGGGAAGTAAGGGGTGAATGGGGGTGGGGGTGGGAGGTGAGGGGTGAATGGGGGTGGGTTGGGATGTGAGGGTGGGGCGGAAGGTGAGGGGTATGTGAGGGTGGGGTGGGAGGTAAAGGGTATGTGTGCATGGGGGTGAGGTGATGTGGGAGAAGGGAGGCTCCACCCCAGTGGGACAAGTGCTCCAGCTGCAGCATCCAGGAGATGTCATACACGGTGACAAGCTGTCAGTTCTCATCTGGCACCAAATGCATTTTTGCTGGTGATACAATCCTCCAAATGTTCATCTGTAATTTCCCGTGCAAGAATTTTTCCCCTCCCCACTTGTCAAGAAGAACGCAAGCGTAGGGGCCACGATTTCTACTTCATCATTGTCTTTCCTTCCCCCGCAAAATAACAATCCATCCTTTTGGCTGAGGGACTCAGTAAATGGGCTGACCTCATGTTATGGAGATTCCAGGGAAGGAAACTTACCCCCTGCGGGAGATGCCAAAATCAGCACGGACTGTTTCTGCACTGCCTTCTTTCACACACGTTATCTCCATCTCCCCCTTCCCCAGGGCACTTTCAGTGTTAGGCACAACCAAGAAGAAATACTACCAAACCGCAGCGACGTCACCAAAAGTAAAATTTGGTGCATTGGAGATGATGCCAAAGGAGTCACAAACTACAGCTGCATTTTGTGGTGAAGAGACAGAACTTGGGAGGAGGATCTGTGCTGAAACACTTCTCAAGTCCCCTCGTTTAGACAATGAGAATAACAACAGCCATCTGGAAGGGTTATTCTAGAACTAAGTAGGGCAAGCTAGTGGAAGTGGCTAGGTTCAGAGAAACCGGTCCAGGAGAGGCAACTGAAAATCAGGCAAGAAAATACCTGAGGCCTGGAAAGGAAGTGTGAGCTCAGGAGAGTAACTCAAGTCAGTCAGAAAGACGTCTGTCTTCAGAGCAGCCAAACTTGGAATGCCAGTGAGCAGTGGCTAAGAATGGGCCATCGATGTCACCCACAGGAACATCACTATATTAGTAAGTGATGACAGTAATAGACAATGCTTGGCTCCCTGAGCCTAAAACGGCAGATTACTGACAAATTTAACATCATGTAACTGCAGAAAGGCCAAGGCAGAGATGGGACCTCAGAAGGCATCACTAGTAAGTTGTGGCCAGCATTTACAGTGAGCATGGCCTATGCCGAGTACTTTGCGATTCATATAATTTAATCCTCCTAGTTCAGGAACACAGAGAGTAGTATCACTTCCGCATTTCAAATGTGCAAACTGGGCCTTGGCAAAATTAGGCAACCTGTTCAAGGCCACAGCATTACACTGGAGTGAAGCACAATTAATAAAAACTCAAAGGCAGATATTGGGGTTCAACCTGAAGGTCAGAAAAGCAAAACAGCTAGTCACCGGCTCTTACCTCAACCTCAGTCTGAAATGGCGATCCTGCCTCCAGGAATCTCAGAATGAGATGGTGAGCTGTCTCCTTCCGTTTTATATTCTTCTCTAGGGCTGGGATTAAAGGCATGCACCGCCCTGTTTCTGTGGCAAACTAGTGTGGCTACTGGGATTAAAGGTGTGTGTCACCACTGCCTGCCTGGTCTGTAAGGCTGACCAGTGGGGCTGTTTTACTCTCTGATCCTCAGGCAAGCTTTATTGACTAAAATACAAATGAAATGCCTCTACAGTGGAGGAGGAGCTATGTTTTGACTTAGAGCGTGACCATTATTACCCCTCAATCTGATACCTGCACAGCGGAAGCAACAGTGAAGGAATGACTGAATGGCATCCCTTTATGTGGCGGCAGGCAGGACAGAACTGAGAGAGCCTTGGATAGTCTTAGGCCACACTCTTCCAAACTGGAATGGGCAGAGGTGGGGGAATCCCCGCCCACCTCCATCTACTGATCAAATGAGTACAGCCTATATATCCCTAGGAATGCACAGATACCATAGGCACTCTCTCTTTTTCTGAAGCAGTGCTGGCTTTGAAGCTGAGAAGAAATACATTCTTATGTTAAGGTGACCGTGACCTTCAGTAATGGATACAGCTCGGGACTCACACATCATTCTGGGACTTTCCCTAAAATGAATACTCAGTGTCTAATCTGGGAAGTCAGTGCTTTCCAGGCCCAGCAGACACACGTCAGCAGCAGCGTTTCCTGCTGCAGCAGGAAACTTACAAAGTAAGTTTAGAATAGTAAATACTCCCCGAAGTTGCAAAGAACAGCTCTAGTTCAATGAAGACAGCCATAAACCTTGGTAAAGCTTCACCGAGGACCCTCCCAATCAGCCAGCCAGAAGCCTTTATGTCTTCTTAGGAATAAAGGGGCCAGGGTGGGCAATATGCGGATGCTCTAACTAGGGATAGTTGAATAAAATGTGGATGCATAGAGCGAGCAATCCAAACACTTATTACCCAATAACCATCCACATTGACAATGACTGGGAGCATCCTACTCACAAAGAGCCCTAAACAAGGCGAGGGCTGGGCGGTGGTGGTGCACGCCTTTAATCCCAGCACTTGGGAGGAGAGGCAGGCAGATCTCTGTGAGTTAGGGACCAGCCTGGTCTACAAGAGCTAGTTCCATGCCGGGCGGTGGTGGCGCACGCCTTTAATCCCAGCAGTTGGGAGGCAGAGGCAGGAGGATCTCTGTGAGTTCAAGACCAGCCTGGTCTACAGAGCTAGTTCCAGGACAGGCTCCAAAACCACAGAGAAACCCTGTCTAGAAAAACAAAAACAAACAAACAAACAAAAAAAAAACAAGGCGAGGGTCACATGGCCAGGCCACAGACTCTGGCAGAGACAGCTATCGCAGATATGTGCCACACGCCACTCACTACTCGGCACCCCGCCGCCCCACCCTGCCGATGACAACGGTGCCAACCGGGACTTCAAAAAAAAAAAAAAAAGGTGGAGGTGGGTTTGAAGTAATGAAGTGTCTCACAGAAGGTCAGCATATAAACTTTCCCATACCAGGTTATAGCAAGGAGCTTGTAAGAGGGATGCCCAGCCAAGGAGGGTGTCCATTCTGGGCTGGAAGGAGTGAAAAGGGGATAAAATCTGGCGAGTGAAAACCAAATCATAAATAAGCACAAAACCAGAGTCCCTAACCCAGGCCTTTTATTTCCCTTCCAGATGGCCAGCAGCTGAACGGCTCTGCGGAATGTCTGCGCGCCCCTCTAGGTTCAGCCTCTTTCCTTTCGAGAGTACCATAATAGATGCTTTCGGACCTGTGTTCAGACACAGCTGTTGGGGGTCCACAGCCCAGGCAGTGACCACCAAGTCACTCTTTTCGTTACTTCGGGGTTGCAATGATGAACACAGACAAACCCCGCCTGCTAAGGCTTTTCATGTGCACCTTTATTAGACCCCAATAATGCCCATGAGCAAATTAAAGTGTTCCTTTTTTCTTTCCTCTCTTCCACAAGCGTTTTTTACCAGCTGAAAAGATTTTCCAGGTTTAATCCTGTACCAATTTTAGTGTAAAGGGAAATAATAAGGAGAATACTCAAGTGCGGGACCAGCTCCAGGGTAAGCAGCGGCTCCCACTTTTACCTAAATCACTTCTTCAAAGCACTGCTTGCTGCTCAGCCGCGAACTGCCAAAGGCTCCTCCCTTAAAGGTGGAAACCACACGCAGTACAGCATCACCAGGAACACAATGAGGTAGAGAGAAATGACAGCATGCCACTGAACAGAGGAAATTCACATTCAAATGAACTCGAAAGCTCGCTTTGCTAACCATATCCTAACATGCAATTGTGCTAAGGGCACCCTGTTAGCATTTATTCTCAGCCTAAACACACTTTAGCATTTTACTGTCCTGAACCCAGGCTTTTGTAACACCTAATAGCAGGTGGATTACCTAATCAGTTAAGGAGAAACAGCTTTGCACAACACAGATCCTGTAACCTACAATCAACCACTACAGCAAACTATAGGAGCCAAAAAAAAGTTGTTTGTTACTTTCTTTTCTAAAAATGAAAGCCTGAAACAGATTTCAATTTTCCCTTTTTCTTTCTTTCTTTCTTTCTTTCTTTCTTTCTTTTTGGAGGAGTTGGTTTTGCTTTTTTGGGTTTTTGTTTGTTTATTGAAATAGGGTTTCTCTGTAGCTTTGGAGCCTGCCCTGGAACTCGCTCTTGTAGACCAGGCTGGTCTCAAACTCAGAGATCCGCCTGCCTCTGCCTCCTGAGTGCTGGGATTAAAGGCGTGCGCCACCACCACCATCCAGCTCAGCTTTCATTTCTTGAGCTGTATTCGCATAAGTTCATTTAGGGTGGCTGAAGCTATGAACTCCCTAAGGCATGTGTGGAGAAGGGCTGTCCATGCACCTACACATGGTATTTCACCAGCTGGGCTGGGGTATTAATATATAGATGCTTCTTGCCCTTTCCGTGCAGAGTGAGAGTCTAATTGCTTACGCAAACTGCGGTAAAGAAGCAAGCTAATTGCTGATGAAGTTTCTCGTTTGCATAAATCCATAATGTTTTAAATTATCTTCTTTGTAAAAATAATTGGATAAGTACATCTTTTTGCGAGGTTCAGTGAGCTACCCCACAAGCCTCTGGCCAACAGATGCAAGATCAATAGCCAGAGTTCAAACTGCATTATTTATGGCTTACAAATGAGATGGCATCTATAAAAGTAAGCCTTCTGTCCGGCTCTGGTGACACCTGCCAAGCCTCTAGCAGTGGAAGACTCAGAAAATGTATTTTCATTATCAACATAAAATGGATGTTTCAAGACCAGTGAAACGTTAGTTTAGAAAGTCATTTACAGTGACATTTAAAACAATTTATATGAACAACATTTGACTCATGATAAGAACACTGCCTATTAAATGAAGATTGGCTGTTCAGAATTCAGTGGAGCCCTGTTCTTGTCCTGTGAGTTGACATCTTTTGATGTGAAGGACTGTTACATATCTAAAATGAAAAAAGAACTGTGACATTCTGAGCAAGCACCTATTAAAATGACTGTGACATTTCAACGAGAGGACCACATACAGGGTGACTCCTCTTCTTTGCCCCAGTATCTGTGTTGGCCTTTGCTAAGGGCAATCCATTAGCTTTCTCAATGCTGCAGTTCGGAAGGCCTCTCTCTAAAGCACCAGAGAGCTGAGAAAATAAACAGGCTGCCAATAGCTCCTCTCCCCAGAGGTTCTCATCACCTCCCTATGAACACCAACCACAGACGAAGAGACCACACAAACTCCTCTCTCAGCCTGCCTGTAATGTCACCGGCAAACAGTCGGGGTATTTCACAGCTACTTTCAGTTCCACAGCGAGACATACTAATATTCCAGACCAGCTTCCAACAGCCTATGCTACCACTGGAGAAGACATTAGAATTAGGCACACCGATACCCCCCAAATATTTTCTTGTGGTTTGTTAGGCCTCAGGAAGCATGCGAACAGATAAATTTATGCCAACATGATATATCTGAGAGAAGCCGAATGAGAAATAGTTCGTGGTCTCAGGAGCTTAGCTCGGGTGCTAAGGTGAGGTTGAGAGGGGCGCCCTAAAAGCTACCGTGGCCGGCACGTAGACAACGGCACAGCCGGTACTGGTTGAGCTGCACGGAAAGCCTTCTCAAGACTTCCTCAACGACTGGAGAGGGGGGTTTCCCGGTAAGGGACGTCGAGGCCGGCTCATAATAGTTGTATGGAAACACGATCTCTGGCAGGTCACTATTCCCAGTACTAGTCCCCTTTCATTTGCACCCTAGGGTCTGTCAGGGCTGAGGCTGGGAACATCACCCCTTGCAGTCTCTCTGTTTCACCGAGAGCTTTTAGCGGAGGATGCTTTCCAACAGTTATCTTTTTCGGGGGAAGTGGGGGTGGTACTGCAGTGCCGACCCGAGCCTCGGATACTTCTTCCGCACCTACACCCACTCCTCACTCCATTCCACACTCCTCTGCTCTGGCGATCGAGTTTTCAGAACAAGTGTCAAAATGTATTGTCCCCCTTTCCGGCTAGCTGCACCCAAAAGTCTCTACCTGCACGGATCCCACGCACCTTCTGAAATCTCCACTTTTAGGACTCCAAACAGCCCTGCGTTCCCGGGAGGCGCAGGCCGACACCCAGGGGCTCCCCACACAGGCTTCTGGATCTCGGGGCTGCCTGGGTGGCCTCGACCCACAGAACAAGAACCCTTTCTGCTTGCTCCCGGTCCTGCCGGATGCTGGAGAGAGGCACAGTAACAGCTTTCAGCTCCGGACTCCTCAGGTCTGGGAGGCGGAGGTGTGGCGGGAGGGCGGGCCAGTCCAGGTCCCTAGCAACCCGCGCGGCGTCCCCGCTCCACCTGCCCACCCACGGTCGCGGAGCTCACACGCCAAGACCGGTGGTCCGGCGCCGCCGGCCTCGCCTACCTTCCGTCGGCCTCTGGGGAGCGCCCGCGCCAGCTGCCTCCGGAGCTCTGCAAGGAAAGGGCGCTTTGTTAGAGCCCCGCTAGCGCCGCGACACCGAGCAGCCCGCGCCGCCGAGCCGGGCACGCGTCCTTCCAGAGGACGCGACTGGGGACCCGCGCGGGCGTCATTTCCATCTGTAAGGGGCCAGCGCTCACAAAAGCACGCCGGCGCATCCCCCGCCCCCGCCGGCGCCGCGGCCCCTCCCCCGCCCCCGCCGCCACCCTCCGGCGATAGCGCCCCTCCCGGACCGCCACCGCGTGCTAGATCCCGGGGTCTGCGGGTCAGCGCGGCGCGGGACGCTCGGGGTCCCCAGCAGACGGCGCACGGGCTGCCAAGGCCTCGCGATCTCCCAGGTCGCTAGATTCCCGGGGGTCCCCAGCTTGTCGCTCACCGCGTCCCGGGGCTCAGGCACCCCGCGTCACAGCACAGACCATGACCTCCGGGCTCTTGAGCTCCGCCGGGCGGCACGGGTCGGCCGCGCCCAGCGCGCTCGCTCCCGGCTCAGCTGCCGCCACCGGGAGATCGGGCCGCGGGGGAGGAAGAGCCGGGCCGCGCAGGGAGGAGTCAAGGGGACGCCGGCCAGGGCGCGGCTCCTCCTCCTGCCCCGGCCGAGGGAGGAGCGGGTGGCGGTTGTAAGCCGGCGGGAGCGAGCCCCCGCCTAGGAGATTTGAACTTGAGAACGCCCTGGCTCTGCGTGTGGGTTCGGCGTCCCGAGGTCACCTCGGTGCACCAGCTGGCACTGCCACCACGCGGTCCTTTGCCCGTCGCCTCATTTTCCTCTCAAAGGCATCCGCTAGCACCTGGTGGCTTGGCGCAGGGCCCACAATGACTCTGGAGAGTGAAGACCCCAGCCTGACCTAAAGTGAAGTTCGGGTGCCTCTGTAACCTACAGGCGACCCTGGAATTCCCAACCCTGGAGAGTCTTTTGAAGGTCACGGGAAAGGGTCCCAAAGAGCAAAGAACCCTGTAGAGCGCTGAACCCTCTGGACCTCTTAGAACCACTTCTAAATACATCAGTAGCTGCCCACCTCATCCTCATAGGTGCCCTGTCCCTTGTCTAACCTCTGATGGTGCAGTCAATCCTTTGTCACAGGGTGGCAAATCCAGGTTAGAGGTGGAGGGAGCTATAGGCGGAGGCAATACCTTTCCCGGGATCCAAGAGTGGCCCTTGTGGAAGAAAGGATCTGCCCAAATTATTACACTCTCAAGTTATTTCCACAAGAATGTGGGACAAATTCTAGGGGACAGAAAGGAAACTGGCAAGTTCAGGCTTCTGGAAACAGATGTGACCTGTTCCTCATGACAAGCACCCTGAGGAGACAGACACACAGCTTTTTAAAAGCCAGGAGGCTGGAAGCCCCAAGGAGGCAGACAGATGCCTTAGCGTTTTTTTCAAAGCAGGAAGCTGGAAGTGCCGGAAACCAGAGCTTCATACAGAAAGCCCTTAACAGACCTAGGATTCAGAACAGCTCATCTGCCGCAGAACTGCCTAGAACTTAAATGCTCACAACCCAGAACCCGGGAAACCGGTGAGATTTTAGTGGAGCCCCAGGCCGAGCATGGCCTAGTTCCTTATTTTCTGCTTATATTGTGCTACAGTTCTGCAGAGTTAAGAAAATTGAATGAAGCGTTTAGAGACTCTCCATGATTTCTTACATGAATCCACAGTTGTCTCAAAACTTAGGAGACACATATAACAAAGCCAGTTATCTGAAAAATCCAAATCTCTGCTACAGTGCATCTAGGGAATAGGAAAGGGGAGCTCCTCCTCGTAGCCATCCCTTTTAGCATACAGAAACTTACAAACACAGCTATTCAGTTGGTCAACACAACTCATCAACCTACTACCCAGATACTTACAGAGATGTCATGAACAAGAGAATGAATCAGCTCACTGAACACTCAAACAACCAGCAGCCTCAGCAGTGAAGGATGAAGAGGCAGCTTCCTTGTTTCGACCAACCTCTGCCAGGGCAGATCCATAGTGCTGGTTATCTCTCCTTATTTCACCACCAAGAATCCTTGAGAAGGAGATAGTGCCTTAGATCAAAGCAGGGGTCCTTGGGGCAGGCGCTCTCAGAGGCGGTGTTCGCTCCTTGCGGAGGAAGCACAGATTGCTAGGCATGGTGTAACCAGAAAAACACAAGATTGGTTTTTTGAAAGGATGCGCTAGGGTGGAGTCAGTGTTGGGATTGCCTCCAGCCTTGCCACAGAGGAGGGGACAGCATGGAGCCAGGCAGTTGCTGCTGGGTGGTACAGGGTTCTTGAGAGCACGTGTGAGGCAGATTCTTTAAGATCCTGTGCCCAGGGTGGGTGATTAGTCTTAGAAAAAACCAAAAGCTTCACTTAGAACCAGCCTATCGCTTGGCCTTAAATAGTTTTCATTCTACTTATAAGAAAAAAGTGATGTGAACGTTTGCCTGGAGGTAATGGCGCTGTACTGGCCTGCCCGTGGGGGTCCTGACAGGATGGAGGTAATGGCCACTGTTAGTATTCAGGCATCTGTACAGGCCTGACCGTGGGGTCCTGACAGGATATGTCCTCAGCTGCATCCCCTAGAGCACCACCTGTGCACATTAGCTCCATTCCCTTTTAAAAGGGCCCTGCCCACCTCCTGTTCTCTCTCCCTCTCCCTCTGCCTCTCCTCCCTCTCCCTCTCCCTCCCTCCCTCTTTCTTTTCTACCCCTCTTGTCCCCAGGGACTGGTCTCTGCCCTCTTCTCTGCCCCTTCTATTTCCCCTTCCAATAAACCTCCCCTGTGAGCCTGTGAGCCTGTGAGCACTTTTATTTGTCGTAGTTCATCTGCCTTTGATTTTGATCTTTATTTTGCAGAACCTTGTTAATGAAGCCTGGCACCTTGAAGTATTTGCCCCTCTTGTTTGGGGTTTGTTTTCTGCTCGCTACATGTATGCATTTGTTTGTTGCATACTGCAGTATTGGGCTGGAGTTGTCAGGTGTTTCAAACTTGCAAAAAGTTGGTTGTAGCACATGCCCTGGAAGAGGATGTCACTCTGTTTCTTCCCTAAGAAACTTTAGTCTTAGGTTTTGTTTTGAGACAGGGTTTCTCTACAGAGCCCTGGCTGTCCTGGACCTCACTAGGCTAGCCTTGAACTCACAAGAGATCTGCCTGCTTCTGCTACAATTAAAGTGCTGGGATTAAAGGTGTGCACCACCACACCCAGGCTTAACGCGTCGCCCCGGCTGGTTTGAGAGCCTGGCCTTCCTGCTTCCACAACCAGCAGGAAATTTTATAAATGATCAGAATCAGACAATGAAGATAAATTAGAGAAAGAGAAGAGTGAAGTAGAGAGGGGAGATGGGCATGGGGTGAAAAAATAAAATGGGGGAGAAGGGAGAAGAGGGTTTTGGAAGGTAGCCTTCCAAACTTCCTGCTACCTAAAGAATGATGCCCTGCCCCAAGTAAGGGCAAGGTTGCAGTTCTGACTCAACTCAACCTACCCACCCCCATGTTGCCGTGCTTTTCTTTCTTTCTTTCTTTCTTTCTTTCTTTCTTTCTGAGTCAAGGTTTCTCTGTGTAATCTGGCCCTGTTGTCCTGAAATTCGCTCTGTTAACCAGGGTGGCCTTGAATTTACAGAGCCCACCTACCTACCTCTGATCCTGAGTGCTGGAACTAAAGGTGTGTGCCACCACGCCAGGCTCTGTGTGTTCTTTCCTATTCACAGAATAGCTCCCAAACCCTTCTGGCTAGCCCAGGAACTAAGTGAAAGAGAGATGCCATGCTTTCTCTCGGAGGAGATTCGATGGTGAAAAGAGGAGAGAGAGAAAGAAAAAAAAAATCTGTATTTCAGAGATGCAGCAACCGTCCACCAGGAAGAAAGAACACAAACAGAGAGAAGGGAGTGGTCGGAAGATTGGCCTTGACCCCTGGCCACCCTCTTTAGGACTCCGACTCTCCACCCTCCTCTGTGAGGTACATAAAAGAAGAAGAGATAGATTCGGCTCAAATTTTAAAGTTAGCCAGGACTGCCTTAGTGTTCTGAGGAGGCATTCTCAGTCCCTGCCCTTAGAGAAGAAAAAAATACCCGTGTGTGATAGAGTAAGGGATTCCTTAAAGGCGGCACTGAACTTTGTTGGACAAACATATATGGATTTCAGCACAGCAGAGCAGAGGGCAAGGATGTCGCTAAAATATGGCTGCCATTCTCATTGAGACTACTGCCTGTCACTTGCTGTCCCGGTGCCTTTCTAGGCACCTAAGACCCACCCCAGTAGAGAAAAAGCCAATCCTCTTGGAAGCCGACCTCCAGGAGCTCAGTTCCACGCATGCGCCTTTGAATCTTTCCACAGCTTTTCTTTCTAACCAGACTACCAGTCCTTTGACGTAGTTAGTGCCCGTGTTCTGTCTTTGGTGCAGAAGTTAAAAGCACAGCAGGAATCTGTCCTTGAGCTTGCGGATCTTTAGAGCTGAACAGTTAGGTGTATTCCAGCTGCGCGGCACACCTCGCAGAGAGGACGGTGCACGCCCTTGGCGGCATTAGGCTGCCTATCATTCTGGGAGCCATCCTATTCTGTGAATCTGGAATCTGGAAATGGTCTACTGTCCCAAAGTGCTATAGATGGTCACTGCAGCTTCATTCAAAGAAGGAAATGGAAAATTAGTTTTAAAAGCCCTAAGCACTTGACCAATGCGACAAGAAAGCTCCACTTAAAAGATCTTTGAGTAGAATATAATGTTTTTTTTCCAAATGGGACTACCTTTGAGCTTTTGTACAAAAATTGGAGACCCACTTAAAGCAGTTCTGGCCAATAGAAATAAATGTAAGTTACATATGTAGCTCAAGCTTTTAACGGTGGCGGCATTTTAGCAGTATTTTAAAAGGTAAACACATAAAATTATTGTTTAAAATGTTTAACCCGGGGGCTGGAGAGATGGCTCAGAGGTTAAGAACACTGACTGT